GGGGGTGGCGGACCAACACTAAAAAGAATGTGTTTGAATCAAATTCATGACTACATTAAATAGGCATTTGTTGAAAATCTCATGAGGATTCGGCCAAGCCTCCTGTAGCAAGAAAGTGACACCACATTTGATTGTGCTTCATTATGAAAGGAGGGCTGGCCATGGTTGAATGGAACTTGATTGAATAGGCCTGTTTTGAAATCTCAGAAGGACCGTTTGGCCAAGCCTCTTTTGACATGGAAGTGACATCACGTTTGATCACATGTGCTTCATGATGAAAGGAGGGCAGGCAATGGTTGAATGGGACTTGATTGAAGACTATTCTGATTGACCTTGATCATTACATGCTTGTCATGAGGGCGGCCACTCGTGGAAGGGTCGAAAATATAGTCCTCCGTTGTGTTCACTTTCTTGTTCCTCATGCAGTTGATCAACATTATTATGCTTGATAATGATTTTCTTATCCCACATCTTTGTATCTCAGTCATAGCAGATTAATATTTTTCATTTATAAACTGCTTTCATTTTTTAGTTCTTTAACTTGAAGTTTTTTAATAAATCTCATTAAGTATCATTCCTTCATGAAGGTCTGTCTCTCTTCCATATTTAATCATGCCAATATAATCTACACAGAACTGCAAGATTCACCATTCTGTTGTTGGCCTTCGATCTTTCATTTCTGAGGGAGCAATCATAGAAGACTCTTTACTCATGGGAGCTGATTATTATGAGGTATTTTTGAGCTTTCCAACATCATATTATAGACTGATGCCGAACAAAGTAATTTCACCGCAATGTGTGTGATTCTTGTGGTTTTGCAAGACCGAAGCGGATAAGAGATTTTTATTCGCAAAAGGCAGTGTACCTATTGGAATTGGGAAGAACTCTCACGTTAAAAGAGCAATTATTGACAAGAACGCCCGGATTGGTGAAAATGTTAAGGTACTTGAAGAAACACATGAATTCATTCACTACAACATCTTCATTGTCTCTAGCCTCCTATGTCTTAGAAATAAAAATCTTCTTCATCTTCCTACATTGTTCTATCTCATAGGCCTATTTTACAAATTGATAAATCCACTTCTTAATTTTCTTAATAAAGAAGTTCATTCTTTTTATAGGATTGGATTTGCTATGTAGTTTATTCATTCTTATATAAAAGAGAGTTTTCTTTTCCTTGTATCTTGAAGATGATCTTATAACTAAGTCTTTAAAGGTTTAGTAAGGAAGCAAATTCCAAAAATGAAAAGAGGCACAAAATGAGTCCAAAATGAAAAGATGTGCAATGTACGTCAAAATTAAAAGATGCACAAAGTACGCCAAAATTAATAAAGAAGCACAAAATAAGCCCAAAATTTAATGCATAAGTTCATTCACTACAAATGTTAAGGTACTTGAAACGCATGACTTCATTGAACTACAACATATTCATTGTCTCTCGCCTCCTATGTCGTTTGTTTCATTTATGCCCCCCAATAAAGCATTTTAGAATCTTTCAGCATCATCTAGCCAAGAACTCTATGCTTGTATGTTATAATGATGTTTCATAAGTCATCGTCATCATCATCATCATCGTCAATATCATCATTATTATCATCATCAATTTTGAAATTTATGCGTTTGTGAGCATAGTTTTATACTATATAAGATTAGCCTGAATTGAATTGAAATTTTGGTATTGCAGATCATCAACAGCAATGGTGTGCAAGAAGCAGCAAGAGAAACAGATGGATATTTCATCAAAAGTGGCATTGTCACTGTAATCAAGGATGCTTTAATTCCCAATGGAACCGTTATATAAGGTCGGTTGTTCAGTCCTGTCTCAATCTTTCCGACTTTCATTAAATTTTGCAGGTTGATATTTCCAATCAGATGGGGTGGTGCTAAGATTGGAACTAAATGGGCTTTAGAATAAGGCTTCGTTTGGAAAAGCTTTTTTGCTGTTTTCTAAAACAACTTTTTAGTACAAATTTTTTGTGAGTTAGACTTTTTGTACTAAAAAATCGTTTTATAAAGAAAAAAAAAAAGTTGTTCCAAACGAAGTCTAGAAGTGAAAATTTCCACTATTTTCTAATGTTTCTGTTGTCTCATTTTTTATACATTTCAGATTTCATAGATCCAAGAACTTTGCTCCTGTCGCATGGTACTTGTAAATTTGTTGTCAGGTAATAAGCTGATTGTCACCTTACATGCCCACCTGGCACTAGTTGAGAACTATATGAGATTAATGAAGTGGAGTGTTAGCTTTACACTTTAGATGGCTAATTTTATATATGACTAGCATTGGAAATGATGTATGTTTTGAAAAGTATTCATTTTATGGAGAGAAGTGATGTTGAATGCAGCTTTGTGAAGATAATAAGAGATTCAATAATGTGTAATAAGAAGAGCTTATGATTGTTTATTTGATAAATTCTTGTTTTTCAAAAGCTTCTTGTCAAAATATATATTTTGGTTCTGTTCATTTAAAAATTGAAGTCCCTCTTTTTTTCTAATCCATTGCATTTTGTGGAGGGAATTACATATATGACATCTAAATTATATTTATTTACAAAATTAACATTTCTGTATTCTTTTTAAAATTATTGAAATCATGCATTTTTTGAATGGCAAGATTAAATTATTTGATAAAAGTGAAAAATTTTAGTTGAGAATTTGGTTTGAATTTTAATATTTGAACAATTTAAAAAAATGAAGGTATGGGTGTTAATTTTGTAAATAATCAAAGATTTAAGTATCATATATATAACTGGCCAATTTTTAAATGTTTTTAATTTTAATGTTCTTGTTTGTGCACCTAGTAATTTGTTATAATCATTAAAATTCTGCATTTAATTGAGAAATTTAGGCTTCGTTTGGGATGATTTTTTTATTACTTTTTAAAGTTATTTTTAATAAAAAAATTAATTGTTATACTAAAAAGTTATTTTAAAAAATAGTAAGAAAATTATTCCAATAGAAGTCTTATTCATTCTTAGAGGAGGGATAATGTTCCTATTGGCAAATTTTTTTGGTTCAGACATCGGATGTGCTCGGAGCCCAGGTACAGAGCAGTACAGAGCTCAGTACTGCTCAGTACTTAGTACTTCACAGTACCGAGCTCAGCACTGCTTGGTACTGTGAATATCGAACGGAAGCTGTGTTCGGTGTCCGAACCCAATAATCTCTCCCTTGGGAGTGGGGTGAAAAATATATAAGGAAATTCTCAAGTGGCCAACACTTGCTCGCATCACAAATATGTGTTCTAATCAAATCAACTTTTGGATGATAGTTACTTAATATTGAACATGAAATGGCCTTGCCAAATCTTGCTATCTTGAGTCTCGATCTCAAGCCTAGGCCTTGCTACAACTTGCTACAACTTGCTATCTTGAATATGATTTTATTCTTCCCTCTTAATCAAAACTATAGCTAAACATGGAATGGTTTGTGACAAAATTTGCTCGGATGCCAAATTTAAACAAGAACCAATCATGCAGTGTTGTATCAATAATTATGGCAACTTTTTGTTGAATCTATTACTCATTGGGCACAAATTGATGAGCTAAATTACTTTCAATAGGCTAAATCAATTGTAATATTCATAAGTGGAAAATGCAAGGATCATTATTTCATGGGTGTAGCTCTAAGCTATTTCTCTTTAAAAGAAAGATCCTAAACTCAAATCATGGCTATTTGAAACATAGTTATATATTATATCATTTACATTATTAAAATGAAATTATTAAAAATTTCATATTTTATCGCACGACGAAATAAATATGGGACGCAATGCCTGAATAAAGAAATTTAATGTGTCCTCTATAATCTTTGATAAAGTGATCTACTCGTCACTCAATTTAGATTGGGAGTGTTGTGGGGATGAAACCAAGTATTGAAAATGTTATAGCTCTCATTTGCATTAGATTCATGGCTTCTAAATGATCCATATTAAAATTCTTGTATGCATGAAAATTTGAGGAGTGCAGCGCTGTGCTGGTGAGTGCAATGCTGAGCTGACAAGTGCAATGATGTTGGCCTCTTTGTGTGGGGTGTATAGGTTAAGTGAGCGTAGGGATGTTGTCTCATCTATTCTACAATGCTTTGGGAGAGAGCTACGCCATTGATGTCATGAGCGCTACAGCCTTGGGTCAAAAAAATAAATATATATAAATCTACTTTCCAATTTTAAGTGCACTCTAGCCTTTCCCTCCTCATTTCTTCATTTGCTTGGCCGACAAGAAGAGATGAGAGAAGAAAAAGAGGAAGAGAGAGAAAAGAGATAGAAAGCTGATCATGGGTCATTTCTAACTATCACTCCAATTACAAAAGTTTTTCTGATCATGGTAGATAACTCAAATCCTATTTTTATTTTCAATAATTTTGAATTTGAGCTTTCATTTATCTCTAATATGGTTTAAATATATTATCTCATGATTTAGTGAACTTTCATTGCCTTTTGATATGAGATTGGCATCATCATTCTGAGCATTTTGATATGATCACATTAAAATTGCACCAAGTAATTTTGCATGTCTAGTATTTAACAGAATTGTTAAGAATAAAAGCATGCAAGTAGATGAATTAGATCTTGAGGTATAACACAAATTGTGTTAGTGCATTAATTTTGGAAGAATTGAATTGTGACCAAAGCTGTAGGAATTTAGCTAAGATGGGTAGAAATTGGATAGTTCTAAGATGCATTTTTTTGCGTTCATGATATGTATTTGTGTGATTAAATTGTAATATGTTATGCCAAAAGAAATGTATACAAGTGCACGAATGGATCCAAATGATTAAGATGTGCTGAATGAATAAAGTGTGTAGCTCCATTTACATCAGATACATGATGTAGTTTGCCAATGTAATAACGCAATTGATGAGTAACACACGATTAATGTTTCTCTCGGAGAAAGATTTTTTCGAGGCCCTGGAAAATATCTGAGCTCTAGGGTTTTCCTCGGAAACGTTCGGCGCCGTCCAGGCTTCCTTCATCCGAGAGAGGTTGATTCCTCTCCCAGATGGAGATCGGTGATTTCCCTCCGCTTCGGAATACCTCGATTCTGGGGCCTATTCTGGCTTCTTCTCCAGCTTCTCCTGATACTTCCTTTGCTAAGAATCTGGCCAATCCCTCCATGGCGAAAGAAGATTTTCCTGTATCCTTTGTTCGCCCTAGTGAAAAGCTTACTTTTAAAGAAGACGATCTTTCTGAAGGTGTTTCAGTCTGGTCTTTCTCTTTAGTCGGTTATTCTTTGGGGCCAAGGCCCTATTATGAAAGGTTACTTGCTGCTATGAAAAAGGTTTGGATCTTGAAAGGTTCGTTCTCTCTTCTTTCCTTGACAGATGGATTTTTCCTAATTAAGTTTACTAACCAAGAAGATTTTGACTTGGTTTGGTCCGGAGGGCCCTGGTTCTTGTTAGGAAAACCGTTTATTTTGCAAAAATGGTCCCCTAAGTTTCAACCTAAGAGGGATGAACTATCTTCTATACCTATTTGGATAAAAATCGTTGATCTTCCTCTGGCCCTTTGGACCCCGAAAGGTATTTCGACTATAGCTAGCTATATTGGTATACCTTTATCTGTGGACAATCTTACTGCTAAAAGAGCTAGATTAACTTTTGCTAGGGTGTGTGTTTCTGTCTCGAAAGATTCGACTTTACCGGATGAAATTCCGATTAATATTGAAGGGGTGGATATCCAACTTAAGGTGATTTATGATTGGAAACCTAGCCACTGTGAAGGCTGTGGATCCATGGTTCATACCTATTCCTCTTGCAATTCCAACCCTAATCCCAAACCGGTTGTCTTTCCTCCGCCTAAACCCAGGAATAAAGGAAGGAGTACTAGCAGAAACCCTAGATCCAGAGCTCCGGCGCCGCCCGAAATTCCCTCCTCTCCTCCTAGGGTAATTTTGGAAAGTAAAAATACTACCGTTGAAACCTTTCCTAATTTAGCCTCCTCGGTTGAAAAGGAAACTGCTTCTCTGATCCCTAACAATTGCACTCCTAATAAGGCTAATATTCCTAATCTAAACATTCCCATTGAGGAAGCTTCTTCGTCGAGCCATGTCTCTCCCCCGCTGGCTAATCCCCCAATTAATTTCAGGCTGTCCAATAAATTTGCGGCTCTTCATTCTGAAGATTCCCAAAATCAAGAATCTGATGACAACGGTTACAATCCTATTCCGAATGACATTGATAAAAAACCGGATACTCCTTCTTCCCTTAATTCCTCTGTTAACAAATCCCATTCTTCTCCCGTCTCGGTGCAAACTAGAGCCAAATCTGTCAGGAAGGCAAAAAATTCAAAAAATTAATGTTTTTCCAAATATTGCTTGCTGGAATGTTAGGGGTTTCAATCACCCTAACAAAGTTAAAGCTTGTAGAGAGCTTGTCAAGTCTTATGATCTTAGTATGATTTGTATTTTAGAAGCTAAGTTCAATAATGAGGCCCTCTCGGACCCTTGGTATGTTAATTCTCACATGGTTTTTAGCAATGAGAATAGTAGTAATAATTTTAGTAGTTCTAATCCTGTTGAGTTTGTTTCCATCATCTTTCTATAAAGTTTTACCTGCGAACTGCTCAGATCATTTTCCTTTAATTCTGTTTACCTCTACTAGGGATAAGAGGTCCTCTAGATTCTTGTTTAAAATTTACTGGATTCACATGGATGGTTTTTGGGAGGATGTTATCAAAGCTTTTGATAGGCCTATTAATTCTAGTCCTATTGCTGCTTTTTATAATTCTTTACAGTTTTTGAAGAAAACCATAAAGGATAGGAATTGGTCCTCCTCGTGCTATATTTTAAATTCTTTACATGATTTCAATATCAAGCAGAATCATTACTTGGCTGAGCTTCAGTATGATCCGTTAAATAGCAATTTAAACTTTCTCTACAAGTAGGCTAGAGATAATTATAACATTATGAATAAAGTCTGGTCCTCTTGGGTTTTTCAAAGAGCCAAGACCAAATGGCTGAGAAATGGGGAGAATGACTTGGGCTTTTTATATGCTCAAATTAGATCTAGGAATAACATAAATGTTATCAAAGAAATTTCCACTTCAGCTGGTAATTTTAATAATTATCTGGAGATGGCTGAAGTAGTTATTAAGCATTTTACTGAGGCTTTTAACTCTCCCAAGCCTATTAATGAGGACAACTTCAATATTCCCGTTGGTAACAAAATTCCTTCTCATTTATTTAGCTCTTTAACTATTCCTTTTACTGAGGCTGAGATTAAAAAAGTGATTTTCGATGGCTCTTCCTCTTCGGCCCCGAGTCCGGATGGGTACACTTTTGACTTCTATAAGAAAACTTGGCATGTCATTGGTTTTTATCTTTGTAATGCAGTTAAAAGTTTCTTCACTTCTGGCCAACTCCCTAAAGGGGTTAAAGCTACGACCATTACGCTTATTCCCAAAAGACCACATGCTACCAATAATAATGACTTCAGGCCTATTTCTTTATGCAATGTTTTTTATAAAATAATTGCCAAGCTTCTTGCTAATAGGCTTAATTCTATTTTACCCTTTATTATTCATGAGAGCCAGGCTGGTTTTATTAAGAACAGAAGCACCACTGACAATATTTTACTTGCTTCTGAAGTGCTTAGTGATTTTAATTTTTCTAGCAATATGTTTTGTGCTAAGTTGGATATTAGGAAGGCTTTTGATACTGTTTCCCAAGGTTTCCTTTTGAACAAAATGAAACAAAAGGGGTTCTATGAGCTGTTTATTAAATGGGTTCAAGGTTGTATGTCTGATGTTTATTTTTCTATCTGCTTAAACGGCTCTCTGGAAGGCTTCTTTAAATCTTCCTCAGGCTTAAGACAAGGTTGTCCTTTATCTCCTTCTCTCTTTTGTTTAGTATTGGATGCATTATCCTGTAGTCTTTCTTCTGATATTTTGATAAGTAACTCGGCTGGGTTTAATTATAAAGGTAACTACTTTAACCACCTCTTGTATGTTGATGATTTATTAATCTTTGGCAATGCTAACATTCAAACTGCTACTAGTTTAAATAAAATTCTTAATTATTTTGCTGAGGCCTCAGGTTTGTTCATTAATTACGACAAATGCTCTATTATTTTCTCTAAAAATTCGGTTAATGTTGCTCAATTTTGTAACAATTTAGGTATTTCTCATATGAGTAATTCCTTTATTTATTTGGGCATTCCCATATCCTCCGAGAGACTGAATTCTTCTCATTTTCAGAAGCTTTTAAGCAATATTATTTCTCTGCTTGATGGATGGAAGGTCCGTTTCCTTTCTCTTGCTGGTAGAGTTCAGTTTTTAAAATTTACCATTTCTAACACTTTAACCTATTGGATCAGAGGTTCCATTATACCAAAAGCCATCTGTAAAACTATTTCTAAGCTTTGTTCTAAATTTCTGTTTCACGGCAATATTAATGGGAAAAAGGTGCACATGATTTCCTGGGATAAAACTGTCATTCCTAAACAGAAGGGTGGTTTAGGGATTGCTTCTATAGAGTCCCTTTACTACAGCGCTCACTGTTCTTTTATTTGGCGTCTTCTCACCCAAGAGTCCTTAATTTCTACTTGGTTTAAAGTCAATTATTGCTCTCCCTGGAAACCTCCTTCGGTTAAAGCTTCTAAATTTTGGAAGAGTATTTGTAGAACTGCGCACTGCATGCTAAATCATTTAACTTTTCAAATCTCTTCTAACTCTAACTTATCTTTTTATTGGGACCCTTGGTTAAATGGGAAGGCTTTGAGTGACTTAATTCCTGCTGGTAATCAATTAACCAGACTTTTGGTTAAAGATTGCATTAGAGATAATGAGTGGATCCTTCGAGACTCTCTGCCTGAAGTGGTTGTTCTCAAGATTAATAATATTAACATTAAAGAGCAACCGGCTGTAGCTTGGGATGGCTCTTCTAGTCCTAAGTTCAAAGATTTCTATAAATCCTATTATTCTCATCTGAATGAGGCTTCGTGGAATAAATATATCTGGCACAATCATTATTCACTCAGATATTCTACTTATACCTGGATGGCTGTTTTGCAGAAATTAAGAACCGCAGATTTGTTGTTTAGGAGAGGTGTTCAGATCAATCCTGCTTGCTTCCTCTGTCATAAGGCTCCCGAAGACCATAATCATCTTTTCTTTTTCTGTGATGTTTCATTCTATATTATTACTAACCTGATTCCTGAGTTAAATGCATTTTTATTTAGACCAAATTTGCTACAGATTTTGGACTACTTGGAGAACTATAATATGCTATCCAGTGGCGAAAAATCCTTCTGTTTTCTGACGGTATGCTGCACAGTGTATCAAATATGGAGAGAAAGGCATAATAGAAGTTTTGCTAGCAAGTGGAATAGCCCGGATTCTGTGATCAACAATATTAAGAATGCTACACACGTCAAAGCCTGTTCCTGGAAGGATTACAATCTGATCAAAGGAAATTTCCCGAGATAATTGTCTGAGGATTTCTTTATATTTCTGATTCTCTATTATTCTGAACTTTTTCTATTCCATTCTCTGTTAAGTCCTTGTTAGCTGGATTTGTTCCAGTTTTTGGTATTAGGTTTCTTTTCCTGTTTCATTAAGTTCCGTTATGTTTTTTCCTATCATTTAACTTTATGTTGTATTTGTCTTTTGTCTTAATAAAATGGGCTATGCCCCTATTTACCCAAAAAAAAAAAAAGAGTAACACACAAAGCAATCAGGTTGGGAGCAAAGAGAATGAGGAAGATAAGCATTTATAGATGTTCCATAAGTTGAAGCCCCCACTATTTAAGAATTTTGTCGAGCCACAGACAGTAGAAGATTGACTATTAAGGATTGAAAGATATTTGATAGTATGAAATTCCCAAAGAACTGGAAAGTGCCACTTGTAGTGTTCTTATTTAAGGGAGAAGCTAAAAGGTGATAGATTCAACAACAAAGAGAAAAAATTCAAGGTAAACTCCACATATTACATGAGAAGAATTTTTAAGCGCTTTCAGGGATTGATTCGTACCTCCATTAGCCCAACTACAAATACAAAAGTCATTCATCAGACTGGAGCAAGGAAATAGGATTGAGATGCAGTATGAAGCTGTGTTCATTACAATGGCCATATATGCTCCTCAATTGATTAGTATTGTAGAGGAGAAATATTACAAATATTTTAAGATGGGTTGAGGCACCCGCTTGTGCCTTTAAGGATTAGATAAATTTCAAAACTAGTAGAAAGAGCAAGATTGTTCGAAAATAATCTAGCAATTCCTCAATTTAGACAAGATATAAGTAGGAAGAGAGCATGTGAAGAAATGAGTAGAGGAAGTTTCAATGAAAATATGTTCAAGTTTAGTAATTATAAGATAGGGTTTATGGTATTTGTTAAAAGCAACCTGAAGAGTGTTTATTGTGAGAAAAGACATCCATGCCAATGTTTTATGCTTACAAGTCAATGTTTCTGATGTGGGCAACATGGACATAAGATAATAGATTATCCTTCTAGAAGAGTTGGAGGAAAACAAAGATCTAGAGAAAAGCATTTAAGGCAAGTATACAAGTTGAATACAAGTCAAGGACTGCAGGTTCTAGGATGTCTGTTGAAGATTATGTGAATAGGAGTAATGTAAGAACTGTTGAAATAAGCATGATTATGGATTTATCTTCATTGATAATAGCACCAGTTCAGCTAAATATGAATAGTTCGAGTCAGCAAGAAGTTAGAGAAGTGTTTGAGATCCATTGGTATAGCTCTCTGATCTAAATTATATGTGAAATTTATGCTTTCAATTTAATATGCCTTGCATAGAATTTTGTATGATTGATTGTTCTGCATACATATGTGAATGAATACATGATTTGATTGACGTGATTGCTATGATTAGTGATCAACAATATGTTCTGTCTATTAGTGGTTCGTAGTGGAAATTATCGAAGATGATATTTTTTAAGGTGGGTAGATTGTAGTATCTCTCATGTGCAATAGATTAATGACATGTAAATAACCCATATTGAAATTTTTGTCTACATGAAAAATCTAAATACAAGTGTTGCAGTGCTGTGTTGGAGAGCACAATAACGTTGGCCTCTTTGTGTGGAAAGTTTAGGTTGAACGAACATAGCAGCACTTGATAGCTACATTATGGCGATGTCACCTTTATTCTACAATGATTTGGGAGAGCACTATGGCACAAACATCTTGAGTGTTGCATCACTAGATAAAAAAAATTATATTTTAAATATTTAAATCCACTATCCTAATTTAAGATCATGCAAGCCATCCCTCCCCCTTTCTTTGTTTGCTTGGCCAGGAAGAAGAGAGGAGAGAAGGGAGAGAGGAAGTGGAGAAAAGAGAGAAAACTCATTCTCGGTCATTTCTATTTATCACTCTAACTATGAAAATTACTCTGAACATGATAGGTAACCTGAATCCTATTTATGCTCTCAATGATTTTAAATTACAGCTTTTATCTCTCTCCAATATGATTAAAATGCATTATCTCTTGATTTAGTGAACCTTCACCGCATAACTTTTGATACATGATATATATTATTATTATGAGCATTTTTATATAATTATATTAAAATTTTATTTAGTAATTTTGCATGTGATGTATTTTAAATGAACTGATAAGAATAAAGGCACGCATGTAAATAAATTAAATTTTGGGCATGACAAAAAAATTATAAAGAAGGGCAAAATTGCTAAATTTATTCTTAAACTAAATAATATTTTTTGTGGAGTCTTAGAAGTGGTATTTGGAACAAAAAACTCAAGTCCATTAAGAAAGGATTTTTTGAAGTCCCAAGAGAGAAAAGTCAATAAAATCATGATGAGAGATCAATAAATATATACAACCAAAGAAAAATTTTCAATGAAGAAAAGGTTCTAATGTTACCACTACCTAAAATTCAGACACACAATATTAAAGAACCTG